AAGGAAGGAAGGAAGGAAGGAAGGAAGGAAGGAAGGAAGGAAGGAAGCCAAGAGTTGACAGGTTTAAATCTGACAAAACCTTTGAATGGCAAGGCAAAGAAAACCTAAAAATCCCACCAGAAGCCAAAAGCTATTCTGAACCATCTTCTAGGGAGGCAGATTCCTTGTTATGTAATTGAAACTAGGTCCTGAATTTTTTTGGTCAGTAAATTCTACTGGCCCTAGCAGGAGGTTAGGTGACCAGGTCTCAAAACTAAATACTACTGCTCTCTTTCAGCCCATAGTGATTTCCATTCCTTCCTACCTGCCAAATGGACCAACTCTAGAAAGATAGGAGAAACATTTCTGCCAGCTCTAGAGAGGTAGGAGATACATTCTTTGCCGTTGCTGTAGACACCTCCAGAGTTGGCACTGGGTAGAAAACAGAAGCCAAGCAAACCAAAGTTCTCCATTTCCAATAAATGCAGGGAGAGTTAAGCCAAAGGTGAACGTCTATCTTACAAAGAGAAGGAGAATAACAAGAAGTCAAGTGAACTAAGAACCTTGAGCTGCTCTCAGGACATACTTTAAGATGGAAAATTATCTATAGGTTGTTGGAGCGTTGTGCTGTGCTGTGATGTGCTGACTTTACAGTAGAACACAGACATCCCTCAACAGATTTGCCCAGCTACACAGCCTCTTAGAGTTAATTCACTTCAGCCAAATGCTACTTTTATCCGAGTCATCTTGTTTAGTGGAAAGAAAAGAACGATTTGAGTTTTATTTTAAATTGCAGTAGAGGTTTTAAAAAGACAATGGAAAGTGGAAGAGGAATAATTTTTTACTTAATGACAGTGGAATGCGTGTCACCTAGGGCTGGTGACAGATAATGTGAGACAAAGGAGTGACAAGAGAGCCAACTCATTGCAGCAGGTCACATAGCTAGGAAGGGGCAGAGGACTTCTAAATTTTCCTGATTAATAATTTGTCAACTACACCTCCCAACTTTTCTGAATAATGCATACTATCTCTGTAGTGTGAAGTATTTCTCACGCAGGTAACCGCCTTGTCAACTGAGCATCTATGTTAAGGAGGGATGGAAAAAGAAAAGGAGAATTTAAAACTTTGTACACTCGCTTTTTCTATCATCTTCTAGAACCTCCAGAACCAGACTAAGAAACTTTCATTAGGATTCAAAACTGTCCCCATCTTGCGTGCTCCTTTATAGAAACACACCCAGGAACATCCTCTAAAACTCAACAGCCATGTCTCTAGGCAGTCATAGATTCAGGTGTGCGACAAAAATAGCACGTGGGAAAAAGAATTATCATTCCTTTTCCCCAATAACCACATAAGAATTTAACCAGAATCTGAAAAGATGTATTCCTCATTCCCAATCTTCAAAATAAAAGATAACTACATTCAATTTATTCACTAGATCTTGTGTGAACTGGTCGCCCAGACAAGATATTCACTATGGGTGCCTGAGATTTTTGTTTTGGAAAGTGATTTCCCCCGATAAACAGTAATCGTGTGGCTATCCAGGAAAGTTAAATCCTTTGTATAGATAGTTCATCAACGTTATTTATTACAAATGTGAAGTACTTCATTAAGCTGTCATCACAAAAAAAAAAAGCAATGCTCTCTGAATAAATTGGTGCATCCGATTAAATATGCAGAAAATGCAATCGTGGCACCAAAAAAAGGGGGAAGTGAAATGCATTTCATCTGTGAATACAAGCTGGGTTGTTCAAAGTGCCACACAGATCAAGGGTTTCCGAACACATCTGCGTGTTCCCATAAATACCACCTACGCGCTAATAATCATCTATACAACAACCATTTTTTTGGCATGCAATGTGAATTTCAATTTGCATGCTAATTACTTTAAAGGAAGATTGGCAGAGTGCTTTTGTAAAAGTCACTTTCATTATAGAGCTAAAACGCTGATTTCCACATTTCTCATTTTCATACCTGGGCTCCTCTTCACTCTTCGGATATTCGCTGGCAAAATATACGTGACAAATATTTTAATTTAGTCCTTCAGTCAACATTAAAAAAAAAAATCCCAGGATAAAGCAAGCACTGAGGAAATGGTCTATGAAAGCCAGATATTCCCCTCTCCACAAACAGATCACAGTCTGCAAGGGGAGAAAAAAAAATGTGAATAGAGAAACAGAACCTTCTAGAAATCTACTAAGCACAGCATAATGCTCACTAGAACACAATTAGGAAACGCCATATTTTTTTCTACCTCCTTCCCTCAAGGAAAATGGAGTGTTGTGAGTGGGGAGTCCTCATATCTGTCCAGATTTGGCATTGTTCAAATATTCCATCTCTACAAACCTTAAGCCAAGTTCATTTCTGAAGGTAGGTTAAGACTCAGAGAATGATATTAGTGTTGAAGCCCAGATTCCAACACGCTTGTCTTTATTTTGCTGGGCCGTTGAGAAAGACTAAGTATTTGAGCACATCTCCAGGTTACTTAGAATGGTGAAAGTTTTAATTTTTATAAACTGAATTATTTTTAAAATTTGGTAATATTAAGCACCTAGGCTAATTTTTGCGTACAAGCTTGAATCTTCTTAAGCTGTTTAGTCAATGACAAACAGTATTTATGACCAGTAAAAATACTTAGTTTTTTATCTAGTCATAACAACAACAACAAATACAGAGGTCTCAGATCTTATCCTGATTTGCCACTTTTGATGAGCTGTTGGCTTTTCCTGTCAACAAGAAATCTCTGTACTGCCTCAGAATCAAGAGAACGTGGCCAACAAGGAGTTGGCACACTGAGAACATATTCACTTATTAAATTGTGTGCTTGAAGATAAATATGACAAAGGACACAAAAATATTATTTAAGATCACATATGTGCTTTTTAAAAAATACATTTAGCAATAAGTACTAAAGCACTTGAAATGGTAATATGTTTTTCTGGCTAAAGCCATTATGTAACATGTAATATGTGAATGGGTCAAAACAGCAATTGATATTTTCACACACAGAGATGAGAGAATAGAAAGGGTTTTAAAGAGGGAAGGGGACAAACACAGGGGTAAGACCTATCCAGAAGAGGACTCACATTAGCTGGGATAGAACACACAGCAGGACTTTTCTCAGTATGGACTCAGAAATTTTAACACTTTGAGTGTGATTATCAAAGACTTATCTTCTGTGGGTAGACATGGAAGGAAGTGGGAGGATTTGGAAGCTCATTTCATGAAGATTCAGTTGAGCATGCGTGCCTGATAGTTCAGGCAGGGAGCTATTATAGTGGGCTTCAAGAAATATTGCATGCTAAACTATGATGATGCACCCTGAGGTATCTGCCCAATGAAAATAAATTCCTCTTTTCCATCCACAACCTCTCCAACTGTTGTTCTATATTCTACTCCTCTTTACACAATACTCAAGACAGTGTCTGTACTCAGTCTCCAATTTCTCTCCTCACTTTCTCTTGAATCCTTTCCAACATATTTCATTCCAACGGGCTAGCAGCTTTTTGATTCACTCACTGGTCTGTCAAACCAACAGTCAGTCTTCCCCTCATGTGACCTATCCAGGCTTTTAAACAATTCCAGTTTCATCCACATTAAAGAAGTCTTTTCCCTCAACTCTTGAGGCACAACAACCCCCTGTTTCACTCATCACTCATACACTCTTCCTTTTTAAATAAATCTTCCTCAATATGGCGATAATCCTTGCTCCCTCAGAAGTAAGCCTTCAGTACCACACTTAGGACTTGACTTAATGGCTTTCATAATATATAAATGTTCACAACTTCCAGACTTCAGTTCCTGGATGATCCTGCCTCTTGAACTCCAAGAGCTCACACCTAACTGCCTGCCCAGCATCTTCTCTTAGATGCCTAATGATGTTGTCTCTGCAACCTCATCAGCTATCTCACATTTCTTTTTCTAGTCATCCTGCTTTGCAAGGGACCCTCAAATATCCAGCAACACCAACACCTGTCCATTGTTATCCATGTTCTCTCTTCCTGGAATCATCCTCTCTAAGATATCACCCAGTTCAATTCCTTCAGGATACCTCAAAAGTGTTTACTTCTGAATGAGTTTCACTTCAACTCCCCACTTCATTTCCCCTGGTAACATTTATGATTTCCAGGTATACTGCTAACTATTCGGCTCCTCCTGTGCCTCTCCCCAGAATGTAAGCTCCATTGGGGCATTAGTTTTTGTGTTTCTTAGTCACCTAAAGTATGCCTGTAACTCAAAACTAGTTGTTGAATATTAAAGAC